CCACCATTGTCCGACCTCTGTCCACGGCTCAGAAGCAAAGCCAGAATTTAAACTTTATGAGTTCGAGATTTTAGGATAATAATTTTAAATGCTAATTAATAAGTTTGGAATTTAATATTTATACTTATTTAGTAGAATCCTTGAGTCGAGAATCTATAGGAAATAACCATAAGGATAAGGTATGTTTACGCTCTACCCTTTTCGAGTCTGGAATTACATTGGGTATGTTGTTGATATTTAGTAGAATCTTAACTCATAGAGAATTTGAGCTGAAGATTTAACCCTACGGGCGGATAGACTTTTAGTCGTGGGCTCATTTGAACTCATAACTTTTGTATATGGTATAGATATATATATGTAAAAAAAATATTAAAATATCAAAAGTTTGAACGATGCAAGAGAATTAAATCCATTAAATTTATATCTTGGATCCGTCTCGATCTCTTATTGTTCCCCTTTATATATGCTTCACTTTCAGAAGTTATGTAAAGAATTCACCCTTTAACATTAAGAATTCATCCCACAAAAGGACCCTCTTTATAGAACAATTACTCGGAAAGATGAGTGCAGGAAACAAAGAGATGAAATGAAAGCGACAAGAGAACAACCAATAAAAGTTGTGGTGGAGTGAGAAGTACTCCTTTATTCTTAACTAGAGGTTTCAGGTTCGAGCTTTGAGTATGGAAGTGATTGGACACAAGTTGGGAAACAAACTAATAGAGAGAAGAGAATAGAAAATTTAAACGAAAATGAGACCCCGAAAAAATGACAATATAAAAAGTTGGACATGTGCAACTAAATGAAGCTTCCGACATAATTTTTTTTTGCATTCGCTCTCCTATTATATGTGTAGAACATGCGAGCGTCACATAGCTGTTGGAGTCCCTCGTCGGTTGGATAAGGGGTCCTTGTTCTCTTTTTATGGTCTGGGGCAATCCTTCCCTCATGATCTAGTTTTTGGATAAAGTCAAGCCCCCATTTCTTTAACATGGTATTAGAGCGAAACACATCCCAATTCATTGTTTCCGATGTTGGGCCTTCCGGCTTATATTGTCCATACTCTAGATGTCTAGTCTTGGGCATGCAGGGTTGTTGGAGTCCACATTGGTGGGATAAGGGGTCCTGGTCTCCTTATGTGGTCTATGTATTAAGCCTTTATAGAATTTACATGAACAATTTTGGAATTATAATTATTTGTACTGAGTCATGTGGTAACATTTTTTATATTATGAAAATGTAACATGCAAATATAATGTGAATACTTTTGTCACTTATAATTCAACAGTTTCTATTGGAACCACTAACATAGGCTTGTTATACATAGTTCCAATTACTAAAATGAGAAGAAAATAAAACTAGAAACCAATTGTAGGTTGTAGCACAACTGCAACTGGGCTTCTTACTGAGTACTTCTTACTACTCCATTTCAAGAATCCTTGAGCAATGCCACTGTTTGGGCTATTATCTCTTTTCGTAAATGTCACTTGGTATTTCAACTTCTGGTCCAACTGGGAGAATTCCAGAGTAGAGGGCTTAACAATCACAGAGACTCCGGGTGGGGAAGCTATTTCCACACTGTAAGATGATTTAGCTTCCCCGACATTAGTCACTGTTCTCGTATAAGTCTGAGAAATTTCTCCTAGTGCGATGGAGAATGAAGGATAATTTAGTTGTGCTTCAGGAATGCGTTTCACTTCCTTACAATCCACTGTGCGTTGCAGGAGATTTCCCACCTGTCGATTTGTGTAATTCAAACCGCAGAGGTAAGGCAGGTAGTCCTTCAATTCGGTGTCGTAGATTAGTCCTGGATCATTAGCTCTCGATGGATTGACATGTCCTGCACCGATTGCGAAGATGTTAGCCGAAAGGAGCCTCTCATCTAAGATGGGATCATTGGCGAGGTTCACTGTGTTAGCAGTTGTCATGATTGCTGATTTGATAGCTGCAGGGGACCAAGTCGGGTGTGTGCTTTTCAGCAATGCTGCCACTCCACTGAGGTGTGGACAAGACATTGAAGTGCCCGATATAATGTTGAAGGTAGACTTTGTGTTTGTTTTGTTGTCAATGGAGGTTGGCCAAGCAGCAAGAATGTTAAGACCGGGACCAATAATATCAGGCTTCAAGATTCCAGGACTAGCTATACTTGGTCCCCTAGAAGAAAATGCAGTAACCACCGGAGCATCTTTGTCCCCAATTATTGTTCCTTGAAATGCAATTCTTGCAATTGGTTTTGACGTTGAGTTCATGTAGTCAAGAATTTCCATTCCATCTTTGTAGGTAATATACAGAGCCGGAAGGACGTGAGCATCGGCAGGTATAGTGAAACCATCATCAGCGGTACTAATGATAATCATGCCAACACCTCCGGCATCCTTTACAGTTTGTCCTTTTACTATCCTGGGAAAACCACCACCTGCCTTGCACACAACAATTTTGCCTTTAATTTCAGGGTCACTCAGAGTACCTGGTCCGCAATAAGGTCTTTCAAAGTCAGTTGCATTCAGTGAAGGATCAAACAGAGGGGAAAATGTTGAATTGTGATCCTTTGGTTGAAAAGCTGTTTCACCCTCGAATAATTGTTGGTCTCCGAGCTTAACAGTGGCCTTGAGTTTCCTGTCAATAGTGCTTGCACCTACTGTCAGAATCCATGGAGCTTCATTTGATAAGGTGCTATCATATGGACCGCTATTACCGGCAGAGCAACTTACAAGAATACCTCTTTTCGCTGCACTATAGGCACCGAGTGCAATTGGATCATTATAGAATGGAATGCTGCTACCACCAAGGGAAAGGGACAGGATATCTACTCCATCATCAATAGCTGCATCCATGGCAGCTAGAATGTCACTGTCAGCGCAACCAGATGAATCACAGACCTTATAAATGGCCAGGTGAGCAAGAGGGGCAATCCCAACTGCAGTGCCTTCAGCGTTCCCATACACATTCGCACCTTTCACAAAACTTCCTGCAGCTGTGCTGGCTGTGTGTGTACCATGTCCATCCTCATCAATTGGTGAATCACTGCTTATTGGGAAAGTCCTCGCACCAATGAGCTTGTTGTTACACTTTGTTGTGAAGTTCGATTCACACTTACCCTTCCATTTAGCAGGCGGAGGAGCCATTCCTTTGTCGCTAAATGAAGGATGGTCAGGTGAAATCCCGGTGTCTAAAACACCAATGATCACACCTTCACCATAGTTGGAATCCCTCCACAGGCCAACGTTCTGTTGCAATCCAAGAAAACTCGGAGTATGTGTAGTGTGCAAAGACAATATCCTCTGAGGCCACGCAGATATAAAACCTGGTTTCTTCTCCATTTCCTTCACTTGCTTCGCTGACAATCTAGTAGCAAAGCCTATGATAACATTATGATACGAATATATCAACCGTGGCTTTTCCTCTGAGTCAGCGGTTTCTATGGTCTTTGGCATGAAAGATTTGTACCAGCTCTGCAAATCCATTCTTGACGATTGAGTGGAAATTTGGCTTTCTGGTGATTCGACTTGAACTATGTACGTCACCAAATCGCTCTGCATACTAGGACATGAAAAACAAGCAAGTATAGCAAAAATAACAAAAAATATTTTCAAGATTCCCATGGCTGCAAGTGTGGTATGAAAAAGGAACTATGAATTAATGATGTACATTTAGGAAAGTGGAGTTTGATATTTTTTACTTTGTGTGTACTACTACTATATATAGTGTAGTCTGGTCCTGCAGTGGAAGATTTTTGAATTGTTTAATCAATAGCACTCCTTTTGATATCTTTTCCTAGAAATGGTTGTCACAATCTTCTTTTTTAATGAAAAAAAAAACCATTTTTCCACTTGCAAAGCTGCATGTTTAACTACCGATTGGGCTATTGACATTGACATTTTGACTAAAGATGAGTGTTCCCATTGAAAACTTTATTATAAAAAAGAGGGTACTTTGCTTCGACAAACTTTTTCTAGAAGTTATTAACACCTTTTTCTTGTTAAAACTATCCTTAACAGATCGATTTCAACTTCCATGATATAGCACTAATAGTCCACCATGCAAAATTGGTGCACTCTTGGTCCCCAAGCTTTTGCCTATTTTTTTAAATTTTACGTTGGTTTTGCCTATTGGTTTAGTAGAAACAATAATTTCATGTGAGAGAAAGTGAGATTGAGAAGAAGAGTGCTCCTTATTTTGCTTAATCCAAACATCATTGCACCTAAACCAAGAACCTACCTTTACTTTTTGTATAATCTTTGCATTTCCCAAACATTATATGCTACAAAAAGTAATAACATGAAATCTCATAAGTATGATAAAAAAAATAAGTTCCAAATCTCAATACATAAAGAGTGAATAAATTAAAGGTGATATAACAAGACAAGGTCGGGCCTAACACATCGGAATGGAGTAGAGATATACATGTAAATTAGCAACCTAGCATCTAATCTTAACCAATTTCATAGTTGGTATTGTGCTCGTCAAAGTGTGATGAGTCACTTTGCATTCACCTCATTCATATGAACAATGAGTACTCTTCTATTCGTGTTTTGACTATTGCACTATTTTGTTGTTTTTGTTTCTTTTTTGTAGGCTTTGCACTGTTTTCTTTGTTAGTTGCTATGTTTTCTTCTTCTTTGTACTTGGATTTGCTTCTCTTGAGCTGAGGGTCTTTCAGCAACAGCCTATCTGCCTCCATAAGCTAGTGGTAAGGTTTGCGTACACTTTATATGAAACTTTTGACACATGTTCTTGCATTCATTCTCATTTTCTATGTGTAGAGCTCGCGAGTGTCATGTAGCTAAAGTGATATATATTAGACACACTTTGTGAACGTTTGATGTGTAAAATGTTGAAGGACATATATATGTGAAAGAGATTTGACTACAAGCTCATGTAGTAACATTTTTGATATTGTGAAAATGTAATATGAAAATATGATGTGAATACTTTTGTCACTTATTATTCAACAGTTTCGATTGAAACCACTAACATAGCCTTGTTATACATTGTTCCAATTACTAGAAACCAATTGTAGGCTGTAGCACAACTGCGATTGGGCTTCTTACAGAGTACTTCTTACTACTCCATTTCAAGAATCCTTGAGCAATACCACTGTTTGTGCTATTATCTCTTCTTGTAAACGTCACTTGGTATTTCAACTTCTGGTTCAACTGGGAGAATTTCAGAGTAGAGGGCTTAACAATCACAGTGACTCCGGGTGGGGAATCTATTTCCACAGTGTAAGATGATTTAGCTTCCCCGACGTTAGTCACTGTTCTTGTATATGTCTGAGAACTCTCCCCGAATTCGATGGAGAATGAAGGATAATTTAGTTGAGCTTCAGGAATGTGTTTCACTTTGTTACAATCCACTTTGTGTTTCACGATGCTTCCCACCTGTTGATCTGTGTAATTCAAACCACACAGGTAAGGCAGGTAGTCGTCAAATGGGGTGTCGTAGATTAGTCCTGGATCATTAGCTCTCGATGGATTGACATGTCCTGCACCAATGGCAAAGATGTCAGCAGGAAGGAGCCTTTCATCTAAGATGGGAACATTGGCGAGGTTCAGTGTGTTAGCGGTTGTCATGATTGCTGATTTGATAGCTGAAGGGGACCAAGTGGGGTGTGTGCTTTTAAGCAATGCTGCTACTCCACTGAGGTGAGGACAAGACATGGAGGTGCCCTGTATAATATTGAAGGTAGATTTTGTGTGTTTTTCGTAGTCAACGGAGGTAGGCCAAGCAGCAAGAATGTTATTACCGGGACCAATTATATCAGGCTTCAAGATACCAGGAGTAGCTTTGCTAGGTCCGCGAGAAGAATATGCAGCAACCACCGGAGCTTCTTTATCTCCGATTATTGTTCCATGGAACAAAATTCTTGCAGTTGGTTCTGATGTTGAGTTCATGTATTGAAGGATCTCCGTTCCGTCATTGAATGTAATAAACAGAGCTGGAAGGACATGAGGATCGGCTAACTTGGTGAAACCAAACTCAGGGATACTAACAAGAATCATGCCAACTCCTCCGGCATCCTTTACAGCTTGTCCTTTTTCAACATTGCCAGCATTCCCAACCTTGCACACAACAATTTTGCCTTTAATTTTAGGATCATTCAGAGCACCTGGTTCGCAATAAGGGCTATAAAAGTTGAGTTTACTCAGTGAAGGATCAATCAAAGGGAAAAAATCCAAAATGGGAACCTTAGGACTAAATGCTGATTCACCCACGAATAGTTTTTGGTTTCCGAGCATAACGGTGGCCTTAAGTTCTCTGTCAATAGTGCTTGCACCTACTGTCAGAATCCACGGAGCTTCGTTTGATATGATTCCATTGGATGGACCATCATTACTGGCAGAGCAACTTACAAGAATACCTCTTTTTGCGGCACTGTATGCCCCGAGTGCAATTGGATCATCATAGAATGACCTGCTAGGTCCACCCAGGGAAAGGGACAGGATATCTACTCCATCATCAATAGCTTCATCCATGCCAGCTAAAATGTCAGCATCGGGGCAACCAAATTCTTGACAGACCTTATAAATGGCCAAGTGAGCAAGAGGGGCAATCCCAACCGCAGTGCCTTTAGCGTTCCCATACACATTGGCACCTTTCACAAAACTTCCTGCAGCTGTGCTGGAGGTGTGTGTGCCATGTCCATCATCATCTATTGGCGAATGTTTGTCGTCTATGTAGGACCTTGCGCCAATGAGCTTGTTGTTACACTTTGCAGTGAAATTCAAATCACACTTTCCCTTCCATTTAGCAGGTGGAGGAGGCATTCCTTCGTCGCTAAATGAAGGATGGTCAGGGGTAACCCCGGTGTCCAAGACTCCAATGATCACACCTTTTCCATATTTGTCATCCCTCCACAGGCCAACGTTCTGTTGCAATTGAAGAAAACTCGGAGTATGGGTAGTGTGCAAGGACAATATCCTCTGAGGCCACGCAGATATAAAACCTGGTTTCTTCTCCATTTCCTTCACTTGCTTCGCTGACAATCTAGCAGCAAAGCCTATGATAACATTATGATACGAATATATCAACCGTGGCTTTTCCTCTGAGTCAGCGGTTTCTATGGTCTTTGGCATGAAAGATTTGTACCAGCTCTGCAAATCCATTCTTGACGATTGAGTGGAAATTTGGCTTTCTGGTGATTCGACTTGAACTATGTACGTCTCCAAATCGCTCTGCATACTAGGACATGAAAAACAAGCAAGTATAGCAAAAATAACAAAAAATATTTTCATTGTTGCAAATGTGTTGAACTAATGATGTACACTTAGGAAAGTGGAGTTTGATATTTTTGCATTATGTATACTACTAGTACTTATAGTGAGCTCTGGCCTTGCAAATATTTGATTGTTTAATAAAGTAGTATTGTGTGTTTAAGGAACTAAAGTTGAAGCAGCAATTAAGAAAGTAATAAAAAGGAAAGAATGGTGATGTGAATTAGTTAGTCTAATTGAACATTTTCCTAGAAATGATTAGTGTTAATGACCATGTATCAAAACTTTATTCTCATAAACTACTTCTTAATTAAGAACAAATCTCCACTTGCAAACCTATAAGTTTTACTACATTTGGCCTATTGACAGTTTGATGAATGATGATTGTTTTCATTGAGAACTTTAGTTCTTTTTTGGTAATTTGATTTGACATACCTGGTCTAGAACCTTTTACTTGTTAAAGCGGTTAATCGATTTTGATTTTATTGATCACATTGTCCTGTTGTCTTAATCGATAAACACCCTTTTTGGAATGTCAGTTAGCAGACAGTTTGACACTAATTGCACGCTTTCCTAGAAATCATTAATATTAATGACCATACGCAAAAACCTTGATTCTCATAAACTTCTTCTTAATTAAGAACACATTTGTATTTGCAACGCAACAAGTTTAACTGAATATTGGGCTATTGACATTGACATTTTGATGAATGATGACTGTTTCCACTGAGATTTTTTTGAAAAATAAATTGGTAATTTTCTTCGAGTGAAGTTGAGAAGAGAATTTTGGACAAAGAGTGACTTGAAAGTTATCTGAATAAGACATATTTCCATTAGTATCGCCTTACCAAGACCTGCAAGTCATTGTAACCATGCCGAAAGGTATAATTAGCTATTTAAAACTCTTAGTCATCCTTTGAAAACCAAAGACACATTTATGTTAAAACATTATGTTCAATACCATCATCCAAGTCTTTCCAAGTTACAAGACAACATAAAAATGCAATATCACTAACAATTTACGGGGACAGAAACATTATCCTTTGTTCATCATTTTAAACTGAAGATTTTGAAAGACTCATAGATTCCCAAATTCATTATTTATACTGAAAAACCCTTTTCAAAATCATACGAGGCAATTCACAAACCAATAATCCAAGTTCTGAAATCATAATAAAGTAATTTGAACATAATTAATAAGAAAGGAACATTTGTAATCAATTTTCATGAAATCATCTCTCGACCCTAACCTCATTTCATAAAGAAAATACGAGTCTTGTATGAGTAGTTTGAAGTAGGCAGTGTTTATAAGGCCATCAATAGTTGGAGGACTAAAGTAATAATTCACGCCAAGTTTAGGCGTATTTTCAATACTTATCTCTTAAAATTCAGGGGTTAAACTATGTATTCAGCCTTTATAGGACTTACAAGAACAATTTTGGAACTATAACTACTTGAACTAGTTTATGTAAAGTTTGGTGCCATGTGACTCACGGGTTTGAGTCATGGAAATAGCCCCTTGCAGAAATGCACGACAAAGCTACGTATAATAGATCCTTGTGGTCCGTCTCTTTTCCAGACTCGCTCATAGAGAGAGCTTAGTGCACCAAGTTGCCCTTTTTTGGGTACTAATTCATGTAGTAACATTTTGAAATTGTGAAAGTGAGTACTTTTGTCTCATAGTATTCACTGTTTTCTATTGAAACCACTAACAGAGTCTTGTTATACATTCTTCCAATTACTAAAAAAATGAGAAGAAATATAAAACTAAAAACCAATTGTAGGCGGTAGGATAACTGCAATTGGGCTTCTTACAGAGTGCTTCTTACTACTCCATTTCAAGAATCCTTGACTAATACCACTATTTGTGCTATTATCTCTTCTCGTAAACGTCACTTGGTATTTCAACTTCTGGTTCAACTTGGAGAATTTTAGAGTAGAGGGCTTAACAATCACAGTGACTCCGGGTGGGGAATCTATTTCCACAGTGTAAGATGATTTAGCTTCCCCGACGTTAGTCACTGTTCTTGTATATGTCTGAGAACTCTCCCCGAATTTGATGGAGAATGGAGGCTAGTTTAATTGAGCTTCAGGAATGTGTTTCACTTTTTTACAATCCACTTTGTGTTGCACGATGCTTCACACCTGTTGATTTGTGTAATTCAAACCGCACAGGTAAGGCAGGTAGTCTTTTAATAAGGTGTCGTAGATTAGTCCTGGATCATTAGCTCTTGATGGATTGACATGTCCTGCACCAATGGCAAAGATGTTAGCCGGAAGCAGCCTTTCATCTAAGAAAGGATCATTGGTGAGGTTCAGTGTGTTAGCGGTTGTCATGATTGCTGATTTGATAGCTGCAGGGGACCAAGTCGGGTGTGTACTTTTCAGCGATGCTGCTCTCCACTGAGGTGAGGACAAGACATGGAGGTGCCTGATAGAATATTGAAGGTAGATTTTGTGTGTTTGTTGTAGTCAACGGAGGTAGGCCAAGCAGCAAGAATATTAAGACCGGGACCAATTATATCAGGCTTCAAGATACCAGGACTAGTGTAGCTTGGTCCACGGCAGAAAATACAGCAACCACAGGAGAATCTTTATCTCCGATTATTGTTCCTTGGAATGAAATTCTTGCAATTGGTTTAATTGTGGAGTTCATGTAGTCAAGAATTTCAATTCCGTCTTTGTATGTAATAAACAGAGCTGGAAGGAAGTGAGCATCAGCAGACGTAGTGAAACCATACTCAGGGAAACTATAGATAATCATGGCAATACCTCCGGCATCCTTTACAGCTTGTCCTTTATCCCTTATAAATGGCCAGGTGATCTAGAGGGGCAATACCAACCGCAGTGCCTTTAGTGTTCCCATATACATTGGCACCTTTCACAAAACTTCCTGCAGCTATGCTGGAGGTGTGTGTGCCATGTCCATCATTATCTATCGGTGAATCACTGCTTATTGGGAAATTCCTTGCACCAATGAGCTTGTTGTTACACTTTTTAGTGAAATTCAATTCACACTTGCCCTTCCATTTAGCAGGCGGAGGAGGCATTCCTACGTCGCTAAATGAAGGATGGTCAGGGGTAATCCCGGTGTCCAAGACTCCAATGATCACACCTTTTCCATAGTTGGCATCCCTCCACAAGCCAACGTTCTGATGCAGTCCAAGAAAACTCGTAGTATGGGTAGTGTTCAAGGACAATATCCTCTGAGGCCACGCAGATATAAAGCCTGGTTTCTTCTCCATTTCCTTCACCTGTTTCGCTGACAATCTTGCAGCGAAACCTATGATAACATTATGATACGAATATATCAACCGTGGATTTCCATCTGAGTCAGCAGTTTCTATGGTCTTTGGCATGAAAGACTTGTACCCGCTCTCCAAATCCATTCTTGACGATTGAGTGGAAATTTGACTTTCTGGAGATTCGACTTGAACGATGTACATCTCCAAATCGTTCTGCATACTAGGGCATGAAAAACAAGCAAGTATAGCAAAAATAACAAAAAATATTTTCATTGTTGCAAATGTGTTGGGAGTTTGATGTTTTTGCATTATGTGTACTACTAGTATTTGTACTGTGCTCTGGCCTTGGAAATATATGATTGTTTAATAAAGTATTATTGTGTGATAAAAGAACTAAAGTTGAAGGAGCAATTAAGAAAGAAATTAGTTAGTCTAATTGAACCTTTTCCTAAAAATGATTAGTGTTAATGGCCACATCTCAGAGCTTAATTCTGATAAACTTCTTCTTAATTAAGAACAACTGTCTACTTGCAAAGCTGTAAGTTTAACTATATTTGGTCTATTGACATTTTAATGAATTTAAAATTCTATTTGGTAATTTGATTTGACAAACTTGCTCTAGAAGCTTTTAACATCTTTTACTTGTTAAAGCGGTTAATCGATTTTTATTTTGATGACCATCGTCCTGTTATCTTAATCGACTTAACACCCTTTCTGGAATGTTAGTTAGAATGCGGTTTGGCACTAATTGCACGTTTTCCTAGATATGATTAGTATTAATGACAATATGCCAAAGCTTAATTCTCATAAACTTCTTAATTAAGAACATATTTGCATTTGCAAAGCTACAAGTTTAACTAAATATTGGGCTATTGACATTGACATTTTGATGAATGATACTGTTTCCATTGAGATTTTTTAAAAATATTTTTGGTAATTTGCTTTGATCCTTTGATAAACCTTCTCTAGAAGTTATTAATACCTTTAACTTGTCAAAACTATCCTTTGCAGATTGGATTCGACTTTCATAGTCACCATTCTTTTGTCTTAATCGATCAACACCCTTTGTGGAATGTATACTTATAAAGAAACTGCCTTCATTTTCAAGATTCGGACCAAGAAAAAGATCCAAAAGATTGTGGTAAGTCCTTCTTCATCCTAAGTAAGAGGTCACCGGTTCGAGTTCTGATTATAGAGTAACCTTTATTAGGAAGTGCAATACAAATTTGGATTAAGTGGGATCCTAATACGGGTAGCGGAAGCTGGATGGGAAAAAAAGAGAAGAGAGAACAAAAATTGAAATGATAATTATTTCCCAAAAACATAAAATAAGTAAAAGTTGGACTTGTGTCATCCATATGAAGTTTCTGACACAATTTTTTTTTTTTGCATTCGCTCTCCTTTTTTTTATGTGTAGAACGTGCGAGTGTCGCGTAGCTTAAGTGGTGCATATTAGATACACTTTGTGAAACGTTTGATGTATAAAGTGATGCTCGTGAAAGAGGGATATGTCAAAGAGATTTGACAACAAGCTCAGGTGTTAAGCTATGTCTTCAGCCTTTATAGAACTGCAGGGTAAGGCTGCATATATATACGATAGTTCCTGTAGTCCGGTCCTTCCCTAGACTCACACATAGCGGAGACTTAGTGTACCAAGCTGCCCTTTAATGTAACAAATTATTCAATGGTTTTTATTGAAACCACGAACATATAGTCTTGTCATACATTGTTCCAATTACTAAAATGAGAAGAAATATAAAACTAAAAACCAATTGTAGGTTGTAGCACAACTGCAATTGGGCTTCTTACAGAATACTTCTTCCAACTCCATTTCAAGAATCCTTGAGCAATACCACTGTTTGTGCTATTATCTCTTCTCGTAAACGTCACTTGGTATTTCAACTTCTGGTTCAACTGGGAGAATTTCAGAGTAGAGGGCTTAACAATCACAGTGACTCTGGGTGGGGAATCTATTTCCACGCTGTAAGATGAATTAGCTTCCCCGATGTTAGTCACTGTTCTTGTATATGTCTGAGAACTCTCCCCGAATTTGATGGAGAATGAAGGATAGTTTAGTTGAGCTTCAGGAATGTGTTTCACTTTGTTACAATCCACTTTGTGTTTAATGATGCTTCCCACCTGTTGATTTGTGTAATTCAAACCGCACAGATAAGGCAGGTAGTCCTTAACTGGGGTGTCATAGATTAGTCCTGGATCATTAGCTCTCGATGGATTGACATGTCCTGCACCAATGGAAAATATGTCAGCCGGAAGGAGCCTTTCATCTAAGATGGGAATGTTGGCGAGGTTCAGTGTGTTAGCGGTTGTCATGATTGCTGATTTTATAGCTGAAGGGGACCAAGTGGGGTGTGTGCTTTTCAGCAATGCTGCTACTCCGCTGAGGTGAGGACAAGACATGGAGGTGCCCTGTATAATATTGAAGCTAGCTTTTGTGTGTTTGTCGTAGTCAACGGAGGTAGGCCAAGCAGCAAGAATGTTATTACCGGGACCAATTATATCAGGCTTCAAGATTCCAGGACTAGCTAAGCTTGGTCCGCGAGAAGAATATGCAGCAACTACCGGAGCTTCTTTATCTCCGATTATTGTGCCATGGAACAAAATTCTTGCAGTTGGTTCTGATGTTGAGTTCATGTAGTCAAGAATTTCCATTCCGTCTTGGTATGTAATAGACAGAGCTGGAAGGACGTGAGGATCGGAAAAGGTAGTGAAACCATACTTTTGGATATTATAGACAATCATGCCAACACCTCCGGCATCCTTTACAGCTTGTCCTTTATCAACCGGTGCAACATTCCCTAACTTGCACATAACAATTTTGCCTTTAATTTTAGGATCATTCAGAGTACCTGGTTTGCAATAAGGGCTATAAAAGTTGAGTTTACTCAGTGAAGGATCAATCAAAGGGAAAAATTCCAAAATGGGAACCTTAGGACTAAATGCTGATTCACCCTCGAATAGTTTTTGGTTTCCGATCATAACAGTGGCCTTAAGTTCCCTGTCAATAGTGCTTGCACCTACGGTCAGAATCCATGGAGCTTCGTTTGATAAAGTGCTATCGGATGGACCACCATTACCTGCAGAGCAACTTACAAGAATACCTCTTTTTGCTGCACTGTATGCCCCGAGTGCAATTGCATCATCATAGAATGACCTGCTAGCTCCACCCAGGGAAAGGGACATGATATCTACTCCATCATCAATTGCTTCATCCATGCCAGCTAAAACGTCACTTTCCAAGCATCCATCAGTACAGACCTTATAAATGGCCAGGTGAGCATGAGGGGCAATCCCAACTGCAGTGCCTTTAGCGTTCCCATACACATTGACACCTTTCACAAAATTTCCTGCAGCTGTGCTTGAGGTGTGTGTGCCATGTCCATCATCATCTATTGGCGAATGTTTGTCTTCTATGTAGGACCTTGCGCCAATGAGCTTGTTGTTACACTTTGCGGTGAAGTTCGATTCACACTTGCCCTTCCATTTAGCTGGTGGAGGAGGCATTCCTTCGTCGCTAAATGAAGGATGGTCAGGGGTAACCCCGGAGTCCAATAATCCAATGATCACACCTTCTCCATAGTTTTCATCCCTCCACAAGCCAACGTTCTGTTGCAATCCAAGAAAACTCGGAGTATGTGTAGTGTGCAAGGACAATATCCTCTGAGGCCTCGCAGATATAAAGCCTGGTTTCTTCTCCATTTCCTTGACCTGCTTCGCTGACAATCTAGCAGCAAAGCCTATTATAACATTCTGATATGAATATATCAACCGTGGCTTTTCATCTGAACCAGCGGTTTCTATGGTCTTTGGCATGAAAGACTTGTACCAGCTCTCCAAATCTATTCTTGACGGTTGAGTGGAAATTTGGCTTTCTGGTGATTCGACTTGAACTATGTAAGTCTCCAAATCGCTCTGCATACTAGGACATGAAAAACAACCAAGTATAGCAAAAATAACAAAAAATATTTTCATTGTTGCAAATGTGTTGAACTAATGATGTACACTTAGGAAAGTTGAGTTTGATGTTTTTGCATTGTGAGTACTACTAGTATTTATAGTGTACTCTGGCCTTGCAAATATTTGATTGTTTAATAAAGTATTATTGTGTGTTAAAAGAAGTAAAGTTGAAGGAGCAATTAAGAAAGAAATAAGAAGGAAAAGATGGGAATGTGAATTAGTTAGTCTAATTGAACATTTTCCTAGAAATAATTAGTGTTAATGACCATGTATCATAGCTTAATTCTCATAAACTACTTCTTAATTATGAACAAATGTCCACTTGTAAAGCTGTTAGTTTAACTACATTTGGGGTATTGCCAATTTGATAAATGGTGATTGTTTTGATTAAGAACTTCTAATTCTGGTAATTTGATTTGACAAACATGCTCCAGAAACCTTCAATATCTTTTACTTTTGAAATCAGTTATCGATTATGATTTTAATGACCATTGTGTCTTGTTGTCTTAATCAACAAATACCCTTTATAGAATGTTAGTTAGAACGCGGTTTGGTACTAATTGCACGTTTTCCTAATAATGATTAGTATTAATGACCATACGCCAAAGCTTGATTCTCATAATCTTCTTAATTAAGAAACGAATTTGTATTTGCAAAGCTACTCTAGAAGTTACTAACACCTTTTACTTGTCAAAACAGTCCTTAGAGGATCGGATTCAGCTTTTATTATGACCGTCCTTTTGTCTTAGTCGATCAACACCCTTTATGGAATGTAAATTAGTACACAGTTTGGCATTAAGATATGTGAATTTCAGATGGAAATTTGTGAGAAAGGTCTATTGGGATTTCCGAGGGAAGGTCCATTGGAAAATCACTTCACTTTTTTTTTTTTTTGAATCCTCTTAGTGAAAATTCTGATTTCGCCATTGATTCACACGGTGGTGATGACCAAAAGCGGAGTTAAGATTTCAATTTTATAGATTGTGTGTTTTAAAAGGACGACTTCAATAGCTAAAAACTAGGTTCTAAATAACAAGTTTTACAAATATATTGTTGGACCAAAAGCTACTAGATCGAACCCGTATCTGAGCTTCTACCTCTTCCCTTGGCGATGGGTTCAGTTCTATACAAAACTAGGAAGAACCCTTACATCCCCTTTATATATACCTCACTTTAAAAAGTTATACTAAGAGGCTGCCTTCATTTTCAACAATTTTTTTTGCATTCACTCTCCTTTTTATGTA